TCTCCCGCCTGATCCTCTTCAGTTCCCCACAGTTCCATGGCAGGGTTGAGCCCCAAGTCCCCAGTGATGACCACATTACCTGGAGAGGTTCCATCTCTCATTGTGACAACTCCACCTTTTAACCACCCCCCTCATACTAGGGGAGCTCGGCACTGGCCCCCCCCCCCCCCACTCCCTCACTTGTGAGGTGGTGGTAGCGGCCAAAACATTCATGTAATGCCCTGACTTGCTTGATGGGATTCTGGGTTTTACTCCCCAAGCCCAGCCTGAGGCCAGGCTTGACTTGTGAGAGCTTGATATTTAAGGTGGTCCTGTTCAACATTAACTGACATTGGTTTCAAAGCGTTATATGACAGAGGACAGTACTGGGAAGACTGGACACTACGAGCATAGCTCTCATCCTGTAATTACACTTAGGTTATTACACTTCTATACACCAACAAATTGACGGTTGAGAGACGGGACCAGAGAGCCAGAGCTCAACCCCCGCAAGCACAACTAGGTGAGTACTTAGGTAATTACTCGAACATGCATTATTCCTCTCGACTCGTCTACGTTCCGGGATTTGTTTGGTCCTGCCAAGTAGACTAAGTATTTTTATCTTTCTCACATTGATCGTACACGTCCTGATGATTTACACATCCATAAACACCTAGCTGATTCAGTTGATACATGTCACTTTTAACACTACCCGAACTGTTACACATATAGTTGCAACCTCTTCTCAGGAGGCAGTGGACCAACTAGCACTGTTGTCCTGCATTTGGCAAGACCCCAGTTCAGGTCTCCAAAAATGCCCGGTTAAATGCTATCATTGGCACAGTCATTTTCCCGCACCAGATCGCAATTGGAGATGTAGAGTTAAAAGACTGCCATAAGGATTAAATATATTTTTGAAGCCCTAGGCCATTCTATTCTCCAGATTGATACATTCACTCAACCCCGCATGGTCATTGTCATCACCTTCTTTGGGCAGTCAAAATCACTTTTGATGCTCTAGCAAGGTGTCCCTGTGTCCCTTGTGTGGAGTCCCAGGCCATGCTAAGACAGTGTTCTTCTCCCCAACCTCACTGCATCAATTGTGGTGACACCCACCCTGCCTTTTCACACTTATACATACACTACAAATTTGAGGTAGCCATTATCATTTTAAAACATCATGATCAAATTTCTTTCCCTGGGGCAAGACGCCAGGTTAGATGCCCTAACTCTTTCTCCAACATGACATGTTTGCATGTTAAATCACACTTCTCCTTTCCACCCTTGACCCCTTTCTCAATTCTGCAACTGTTTCCAGACCATGGTCCTTGATACCTCCACCAACTCCCCATCTCCGCTTCTCCAATCGGACCCTGAGAATTTTTCTCACAGTTCCCTACCAGGTGTTTCCACACTCCACTCCCAGCCTTCTCTTGCTGTTCAGTTCATTATCACCTCTCCACCACCTCCCTCTTCTGTTCCCTCCTCTTCCCAACCTCATCTTTCTTCTCTGCCCTTCCCTCTGTCTTTTGGCCCCCATAATGCCTGGTTCTCCTGGCCAATGTCCATACTCCTCCCAGTCATTTTTGTGTTGTCTGCTGTCATTCTTCCTCTCTTGCTGAGACTATGGAGGCTGGTATCACAGTACAGTACAGTGGTACCTTAGCTTACGAATGCCCCTCTTTACGAACTTTTTGGGTTACAAGCCCGATTTCTTCAGAAAATTTGAATTGGGTTACGAACCTCAGGATACAAATTTGTTGATACGCATATGGCCGACCTAGCACATGATGGCACGGCGATCGCACCTCAGTTTACCAGTGCCCGCCGCCTAGTGACTATGAATTCTTTGCAAGGATTTATATTTTGGGGGGGATTTTTGGCTATTTGAACATAAAATTTGTTATTATATATCTCGCCATGGGTCCCAACAAAGCCAGTGGTAAGGTTCAAGGCAAGAAACACATGTAAGAATGACCATAGAGGAAAAACTAGAGATCATTCGTAAACATGAAAATGGTACACGTGTTGTAGAACTAGCTAGGCAGTACAACAAATCTTCAAGAGATGAGGAGGAGGCAGTAGAGAATGTCCCTCATTAATTAAGAAAATGTGTGCATTATGAGAAGAACTGCAAAATTTTGCTGAAAAGAATCACCCAGATAAAGCTGTAGCAGGCCGTTGCATTGCTCTTATTAATGACAATGTGATGTCTTACTACAGACAAGTGTTACAAAGAAAGGAAAAACAATCTTCAATGGAATGATTTCTAGTGAGAAAATCAAGCAGAGAGCCACAAGCAGGTCCTAGTAATATGCAGGCAAAACGTGCCAGAGAGTGTACCCCAGAGAAGTCCTCACTACCGGATGTTATAATGGAAGGGGACTCCCCTTCCAAACAGTAACACCTCTCCTCCTCCCTTCCCTCCTCACCGTCATCCATATGCCAACAGGAGTCATCAGTAAAGGTAAGTAATAACTTGTACATAATTTTGTACTTAAGATTTGGGTGAATTAGGTATAAAATGTACTTTGAAGTTAATTTTGGGGGGAGTCTGGAATGGATTAATTCATTTTCCATTATTTCTTATGGGGAAATTCGCTTCTACGAATTTTTAGGTTACGATCCGTCTCTGGGAACGGATTAAATTCGTAAGCTGAGGTACCACTGTACTGTTCAACTGGCATGCCTGTATTTGAGAACCTTACCTTGAGGTTACCTTGAGGTGCTTCCGGGGCTTAGCGTCCCCGCGGCCCGGTCGTCGACCAGGCCTCCTGGTTGCCGGACTGATCAACCAGGCTGTTGGACGCGGCTGCTCGCAGCCTGACGTATGAGTTACAGCCTGGTTGATCAGGTATCCTTTGTATCCTTGAGAAGCATAAACCCATTCCTCTCCTCCTCCTCCTTGTCCAACCACTTGGGCTGGACAGTAGAAAGGAAGGGAACGAATGCGAAGACCTCAGTTGTTGCCGTACTTTTCTGGGGGAGGGGAGCCCCGTCGGCTCCCCGGAGCTATCCAGGCTGAATAACTTTCAGTTACTATACATATATTAAAATATATGTATATTATATTATAATATAATATATATATATATATATATACAGTGGGGCCTTGACTTACGATGGTAATCCATTCCCAGAGATGGATCGTAAGTTGAAGCGATTTTTCCCATAAGAAATAAAGGGAATTGAATTAATCCGTTCCCCACCCTCCAAAATATTAACTTACAAATACATTTTATACTGAATATAATGTTTTTTCTAACTACAATACAGTGCATATGATTATCTTACCTTTATGGAGGACTCATGATGCATATAAAAGATGGTGAGGAGGGGGAAGGAGGAGAGGTGTTACTGTTTGGAAGGGAAGTCCCCTTCCACACATAACATCATAATACCTCATCATAAAGATAACACATAACATCAGGCAGTGATGACTTCTCTGGAGTACACTCTCTCATGTTTTATCTGCATACCGCTAGGACCTGGTTGTGATTCACTGTTTGTTTATCTCACTAAAAACCTTTCCAGAGATTTTTGTTTTTCCATATGTTTTCATTTTTGTCTGTAGTGAGGCATCACAGTGTCATTAAAAAGGTTAAGGCAACGGCCTACTGCACCGTGATTTGGGTGAGTCGTTTCAGCAAAAGTTTGCAATTCTTCCCATGCTGCACACATTTTCTTAATTAATGAGGAAGGGACATTCTGTACTGTCTCCTCCTCCCCTGAAGAAATTTCCTCAGCTGTCTCTTGTTGCTGTTCCTTGTGAAGTTCTTCGGTGGTCAGTTCTTCGCTGTGTTCCTCCACCAGCTCGCAAAACACAATACTCAGAACACTATGAATGCCACTTCTTTTTCTAAATTTCTAAAACCATCCCCTGCTCCCCTTAAACAACAACTTGGTCAAACCTTAACTTTTTTCTTCCTTTATATGAAAATGTTCTATTTGATTTCATTGGTTCCTATTATTAGGTGCTTTTAGAGCATATAGTACAATGAAATATGTATATATTTTTTTAAATATATTCTAGAAAAATTGCATACAGTATCTCATGTATAAAAAAGGAAGTAAATAATTTATTATAAAATATGGAAATCAAATCCATTTTATACAAAGCAAAACAATAACTATTGAATCGAGTATATTTTTTGCTATAGTGTATCAAGGAGGTCAAAGGTGCACCCACAAAAAGAGTGATCATGTTATTCCAGATGGCAAAAATGGATCATAACTAATAAGTTATGATCATAAGATCATAAGTTATTAGTGAAACTAATAACACTAGATCCTCGGTTCACAATGCTCGGAGATCCAACTGCAATGAAATAGCAGTTAAAACTCTGCAGGACTGACATCTTAGTGCAAGAGATGTTTGCAGGATGTATAAAATGCATTACGCTCACATGTCATAATACAAAAAATAAGCCCTACCTAAAAAAACTTCCAATTCACTGTGGAGCATCTTATGACAATAATTTATTTCATAAAATGTGTGTTCCTATTTTCTTTTTTCAAAATCATTAGCAGAAGAGTAGCGCATGTTAGACAGTGCACGCATAAGGCAAGGCAAATATTTACCTTTGAATGAGAGCAGGCATCATTGTGCGTCCCTGGCTGCAAAATATAAGGCTTTCCTTGAGCATGAATCCTTATGTTTATGAAAGAACTGGAAATGAATGATTATTTTGTATATTTAACACAGTTTTATACTTTTAATATACAATTTGATTAAACCTTCAGGACAATACATAAGAGTTGTAATGATTTACTCCACTTAAAGGACAAATCGATCCACAGGCAGTGATAGGTTTTGCCCACTAAAGGCAAATTTATATTTAATGCTCAAATTATATAATATGACTGCCCAATAAGTCAATTGTGGCCTAGACCTCCAGAGCGCCAAATATGTCTTATGGATAAACCATATCAGTGAACATTAATTTTCTTCCAATATTTTTCAAACAAATTTTGTACAAGGACTACACTCGTGGACTGAAATTATCATGCTGAACATCTAAGCCATTCAATATAAATTTATTTGGAATACAATTAATTTGAGTGTTCACACAATATAAGTGATTTAGATGACTTATTTGCTGAAACACCCACTGTACAGTGACTGATGATTAACACAACTGGCTCTCCAGTCTTGAGAAGCAAAAAGACAATGAGTAGCAGGATTCCATTACTGTATATGAAAGCTGTTTGTAATAATTATATTCAAACTAAGTACAGTATATATAAATTACAATGTTTTAAAAAATGTAACAAAGCTTCTACCAATATTCCCTGGATTTAACATAGTACTGGTATAATACAAACATATCTTGGGGTAAACCCCTGGTAGCTTCCTAAAGCTACATGGTACCATCTACTATTTTGCATCAACAACAGCCTCTATAGGCCTACCAGGAACCAGAGCCAGAACCTGGCACCCCACCTCACAGAGGCGCGCACACAGAGGTGACATTTATTTTTGCCACTTTGGGAAGGCAACCAGAAAGTCAGCGAGGTAAAAACTAGCCACTGCTGGATTCAATAGGGACCAAAGCCTCGAAACCCACCAAAAGAACTCTTCCCAACTATAGAAACGAATGACTGAATTCTCTTGGAACTAACATAAACTAGTTCGCCCCACCTCCCCCACTCGTTTTGGGAGATAGGTAGGGGGGTAGCCCATCAGCTGGCATCTCCACCCTTAGTTCTATGCTGATGTAGTGCATACCTGGTTGTGCCTCTTCCATGCTGGCTCTGGTGTCCTACTTCTTCAGCTAAGTGGTGTTTGCTCTTAGGGCAAAGTGTTTGCAAGGCTGACTGGCATGGCCCACTGGTAGCTCACACACTTCTCTTAGTACTGTACTAAGGATACTCGATATTCACTTTCCTCTTCAGAGTGGGAGAGATTGCTGAAATAAGAGGGAATACAGAGAACATATAACGCATACATACACACGATAAAGCACCTAAATTATTGGGATCGTCTCAAAGCTCTCCAAATGTACTCGCTACAAAGGAGACGAGAGATATCAAATAATATACACATACACTAATACTGTATAACATACTCCGTAGCAGTCACCCATGGCATAGTGGTAAAGCACTCGCCCAGTGATTCACAAGTGCTTTGGCCTGGATTCATATCCTGGCCAGGAAGGATTGACTAGGTGCCAATCCTTAACTGTAGCCTGTTCACCCAGCAGTGAATGGATACCTAGTTAAACGAATTGGTGGGTTGTATACTGGAGAAAAAAATTTGGATTAAGGACCTGCCCAAAATGCTATGCATGCTAGTGGCTTTACAAGAATGTAAAAATTCTTGTATATATAAATAAATAAATAAATACTAGAGTGAACAATATGGAAGAAAATTCAGAATAGAACCAGTGAAGAGCAAGGGTGCCATAGACACAGAGAACACTGTATAAACATCAGAGGTCCACGGTTGTTCAACATCCTCCCAGCGAGCATAAGAAATACTGCCGGAACAACTGTGGACATCTTCAAGATAAAACTAGATCGTTTTCTTCAAGAAGTGCCGGACCAACCAGGCTGTGGTGGATAAGTGAGCCTGTGGGCCCCTCCAAGCAACAGCCTGTTGACCAAGCTCTCAAGTAAAGCCTGGCCCTGGGCCAGGCTTGGGGAGAACTCCCAGAACCCCATCCTGCAGGTAAGTGTGCCAAGGTCAGTCTTCATAGCCACATTACTTGGGCTGTGTTGGCTTACTTATAGGTCCAGTGCAGCAATCTCAGTGCCTGGGTATCTTGCTTCATGCCCTGAAAATCCTCTGTGAATTTGGTAGACCTATGGATGTTGCCCCCCAAACCTGCTCTCACTTCATGTAAGTTTTGAGGGTTGCTAGTCACCTGTGCCATGTGGCAATGTTCATTCCTTTTGCCTCTGTCTTGCTGCCTGTTGGGTCGATGACACCAACCCTGAGTCACATGGGATTTATTCTCCCCATGTGACTAGTCTTTCTGACCCTTCTGATAAGGTCAGGACTTATCAGGTAGTGACCACTTTGTATGTTAAGTTTTCTAGGTTGCAGCAATCTAGTGTGTCTGGTTGGATGCCCCAGAGCTGCCTGGTTGGTGTTGAGAGAGCCAGAATTGGTGGTGGTGGTGAAATCTACCTTGGTTCAGTCTGCACCTACTCTTTCTTTCTTTCTTTTCCCTTTGGGCATGGTTTGCCCTTCCTCTGTTCCTCCGCCCCGGAAACATCTAAGGGTTTTCGAGTCAGGGCATGGTTTAGCTTAGGATGTAGCTTGGCCAGCTTTGGGGATTACCCTTTTCAATTTGGACACGGAGGTAATTAAGCCGGCTAGTCTCGGCAAAACTTCTGGGTTCTCTCTTCAGCCAGCCCTTTCTTCCTCTAAAGCCTATCACTCAGACAGTGGGTGAGGATGCTTGCTCTGCCCAGGAAGCCACTTCTGCAGCTTTTGGGGCATTGAGGAGAAAAATAAGATTTAGGTCCTTGAGTCACTTTCAACTATGTGGTTCCTGGTTCCCTCCAAGTAGGGTCTCATTTTGTGGGGGGGAAGGAGGAGGGAGTTTATATATCCTCCCTCCTTGTATGAGTATGATTTAGGTGTAGTTTTCCCAGGGTTCAGTTGTGTGCGGCTTTCGGCTCCTTTGGATCATCCTTCTAGAAGATTCTTTCCACTCGAATCCTTCCTTGGTGGATCGGGAGGCTCGTTTTTATGTACCTCCTGCGAGACCTGGATTACATCTCATTGATGGACCCTTCCTCTTTTGAGTTACGTTCTTCTTTGTATTAGATGTATTACAAGGTTCCAGTGTCTTCCTGGCTAGCAGACTATCTCTTGTTCTCGATTAATACTTGGTGCAGTTTTTGTCGTGCCCACATGCTGGAGTGGTGTGAGGTGTAATTACCTAAGTGTAGTTACAGGATGAGAGCTACGCTCGTGGTGTCCCGTCTTCCCAGCACTCTTTGTCATATAACGCTTTGAAACTACTGACGGTCTTGGCTTCCACCACCTTCTCACCTAACTTGTTCCAACCGTCTAGCATTCTGTTTGCGAAAGTGAATTTTCTTATATTTCTTCAACATCTGTGTTTAGCTAGTTTAAATCTATGACCTCTTGTTTTTAAAGTTCCAGGTCTCAGGAAATCTTCCCTATTAATTTTATCAATTGATAGATATATAAACTCCCCCCCCCCCCCACAAAATGAGACCGTACTTGGAGGGAACCAGGAACCACATAGTTGAAAGTGACTCAAGGGCCTAAATCTTATTTTTCTCCTCAAAATTGTTAATTTAATGTTAATAAATGCCATGTTATGGAATGTGGAATAGGAGAACATAGACCCCACACAACCTATATATTATGTGAGAAATCTTAAAGAATTCTGATAAAGAAAGAGATCTAGGGGTGGTTCTAGATAGAAATCTATCACCTGAGGACAACATAAAGAATATTGTGCGAGGAGTCTATGCTACGCTTTCTAACTTCAGAATTGCATTTAAATACTCAAGTACAAATGCAGCTTGGCTGGTGTCGACTATGCTTTAGGTGTTTCTGGGGAGGGGGTCCTGTCTTTTGTGCCTGTCAATGACTGCCTGTTTGCTCCCACTTTTTCTTGGGGCATGGGTCTTGTGCAGCTCCATGCCTAAGTTTTCCTGTTGTTGGCAGCACTTCTGGTGTCTAACTTTCATACTCGTGTACATTTGGGGCTCCAATTCCATTCAGACTGTTCTCCAGTGGTTCACTGTCTCGACTGGGAAAAGGTGGGGAGGAAGGGGGAGTTTACTTCAGTCCCTTTTAGAAGCAGGGTAATCCTTGTGGTTGGTTGAGCCTTGGTATCAAGAGCTGATTGTTCACTGTCCGAACTCAGGCTTTTTTATAGCAGCTCTGCCTCTACCAGAAGGTCAACCCAGTGACTTACCTTACTGGTTTGACCTTCACCTCTGCTCTTTGTGTCTTTTTTTTTTAAGAACATTTATCTCCATCTTTGCAGTAAGCAGGTGGAGTTTTTCATGGTGTCCCACCTGCATTTCTCTTCCTGGTGACAGTACAGGGTTTTGTGGTGCTCCTTTGCCATAGTTCACTTTCTGAGCATGTGGTACTCTTTCTTTTTGGCTTTTTTCTTGATTAGCATCTCATGCCAAATACATTATTCCTGGTATTGGGTGGTGCTGGCAGAGCTGCTGCAACTTGTGTTTGGGGTCAGTACTGTACTGCCATGGCTTCATTTTGCAAGCTGTCTCATATTGTTTCATCTCTGGCCTGTTCATGCGCAACCTGAGCCTACTTGGACTGTTGAACCGTGTTCTTGCATTTCTTTCTTCTTCCTCTTCTCGGTTTACATGTCCTCTTTCGTCCTCGATTAAGTCTTTGGTTTGGTTTCTCTTGCCTCCAACTTTCAGGTTGGGGAGCTTCGTGCTCTCCTCTGGGGGGCAGGGTTTTGTGCTTTTGGCACTGGTGGGCGTTTTGTTTACTTGCAGCTAGCTCCTCCTTTTCTGGAGGAGTCAATTGGCTTTCAGAGGGTTCCTTTGGTCATTGATGCTTGGCTGGTTCGGCCGGGAGTGCATCATGTGCTGTGTCTGGTGACAGCTCTCCTCCACCACCTTTGTGCTGATTTTGCTTTGGTGGGTTGATCTTCTTACCTTGGCTCCCTGTTCCAAGGTTCATCTTTCTCAGGTTGTCCACAGTGTTAAGGCAGACTGTGGTCTACCCTCAGAACCATGTTGTTAGGGAGTATTGTAAGGTACAAGATTGAAAGCTGTGCCCTAAAATATTGCTAACAACACCCGCTCTTACTTTCTTATAAATAATGGAAGTGCAGGGGTCTATATAGTAATAGTCACCAGTTCTAACTACATGGGACAAGAAATACACCTTGGGGCACAATTTTACAAAAAGGATTTTATTTAACAAATACCAGATTTCCTCACACTTCTTAGAATGAGGGGGGGGGGTGTTACTTTGATCCACCACAGGATTGATACAGACAAACAAGGGAAGGGGGGGGAGGTCCTTCTCCCTCTACAACCTGGGACTTAAGGTCATTACTCTAGTCCACTCCTCATAGGTCACTACAAAGGGCCTGGGTTTACAAATGAATATACAAAATAAATGTGGATAATCTCCCCATGTGACACAGCTGAGCACATACACCTGAACTAACAACACACCGCTCTCCCTACACAAGGGTCTCTCTCAATAGCACAGCTATTTCTCCGTACACAAGGGTCTCTCTCTTAGTACCATGTACTAAGAAAAATTTACCTAAACTCTTTCAAATTTACATGAATTTTTCTTTTCTTCTTGTCCCCCCCATGAAGGGGAATTATGTAAGAGACCGACTCTTGTATAGGGAGAAATAGCAGTGTATTATGTAAAAGAGAGACCCTGGTGTATGGAGAAATAGCAGTGCTATTGAGAGACCCTTGTGTAGGGAGAACTAGCAGTGTTAAATGTTGAAAAAGCAGTCTGGAACTCTGACCCCTTTCAGATGCACAGAGCATCATCTCAACAGGAAAATGCAATCTCCTAAAAAAAAAAAAAAAAAAATGTAAACAAAAGGGATAAAATGGTTAAGAAAAAGCAGATTCAATGCAACATAGAGAAACAACAGTGTTGAATGTAGAAAAACAGCCTGGAACATTAAATGAAGTATTGGGAAATGTGTATGACATGTATAGGGAGGGGACATTATTGGAACCAGGCAGGCAGGGACATGTGCAAGCCCACATCAGTCACATGGGAGACGGAGGCAGTGACGACTAGACCAGTGTTGTGGACGGTCTCCAACAAATACGATAAGTGCAGTATTATAGATGTTTATAGTGGTAATTCCCCTTTTCTTTATGACTTAGAGATAGGAATTTTTGGAACCCTGTGTGTAGGGAGAGCGGTGTGTTGTTAGTTCAGGTGTATGTGCTCAGC